CATTAATTATTTTTCACAAAGCACAATTATTTTTATCACTCGTTAGTTACACCTAAATGACAAACTTGTCACTTACACTGCTTTCCTATTTAAGTATTTGCATTGTGCTAATCCAACTCTTTTTTCATGATAACAATGATCTGCGTTTTCAGAGGTAGTCAGACAGATCTTTTTAGAATCGAGCATATTTTTTTCTTCTGTACACTGTCATTATTCTAGTTTAAGAGAAAAATTTGCTTTTTATTTATCACTATCAGTTTGTCTAAAAATGAGCAAACGCAGTGGCCGATCACTCTTGTCAAAGTTTGGCATAAAGTACATTCAGTTTGTAAATAACTAGATTCAATGACCTGAAACCAGATAACTAGTCTAATGGAGATTATAAATACAACATTTTAACAATATTTATTAAATAAATATTGCACCTGTCAGTATCGGTAAACTTCTTAAGTAAACACATGTGTCGAATAGATATTTCTGACAAAACAATAAAATAGTACGTAAATTTCGAACAATAGAAAAGTATACATCTTTTTAGAAGTATATGTCAAACGTGAGAAACATGTCTTGCTGTCGCTGTGAGTTGTCCAGTTATTTTTTAGTGAAATGTTATAGTTCAGGAAAAAGTTGAAAAATTGATGATCCAGATTGCTAGTCATCTAAAATTTTACTTCCTGTTTAAAATGCAATAACAATTATTATGGGTAATGTGAAATCCTGCTGTAAATATGTGATGGGCTCAGACTACGGATCCTAGAATTTCAATTGCTATTAGTGTATAGATTCCTACGGCTCCTAATACTTCCTTTTCTCCTCATTCACCAAACTGAAGACAATATCCCATGTATTTCATCCGGCATAATGTAAATTACGTCAGACTGAGAAATTTTTTTAATCCTTACATGTAAACTACAATGCATCTTTTGCACTCCCCGAAAAAGGTCTATCTACGTAAACTACTTTACACAGGATTCATTATTTTAATTCTAATATTGCGTAATTCTGTTTCTTGAATATTATAATATCTAATGAGATTTAATGGAAATATTATTATTCTTTTCGATTTGATAAATGGCGGTATTTTGCAGAAGCAGAACCCAGTCATTACACGTAAACGAGTGACCCTACTAAGGGTACCTGATTTTGTTATCTGTCGCAATTTACAGGGTACAGAAATTTACGTCTTGGTTTAGCAAAAATTAGGGATTAGTTGCCCCGCAGTTTACATGTGTCCGTATTTCAGCGGCTTTGTTGCGAATATACACTCTTTTGATAGCGAATTGCTTTTAGCCGTCTTCTAAAATCATTGTAACACTGCATTATAAAAATTTTGTTTATAAGTCACTACTAAATAAGTTGTAATAGATAGGAGGACAGGTATCATACATTTTTACTTAAATTTCATTAAAACAAGTATTCTAGTTACATTTTGGCCACCTGAAAGGTTGAAGTATGGTGAAGAATACGTTAAAACACTAATTCTTCACTTTGTTGTTTTTGTATTTAACTTGACATATTTGTTGATTATTGACCACTAGAAAACAGGAAATAGGAATAAGTAATTATCAGCTGTTTGATTTATATTTCAAGTTTACATAAGTACATAAATTACATTAATTAAACACGATAATCTAATTAGAATTTTTTATTGGCAATTATGACTAAAACTGAGGATTAAGTGATAAAGGTCAAAAGTTAAATAATACATTAATAACGAATTACATAGTTTTAATAAAAATTTATAGGAAATTACGAGATATTATTGTCGCCTAAAGGTTTAATCAGTAAGAAAACAACACGATGAGTTGAAATGATTTACGGATATACTGGTTTTCAGGCTCATGGCAGTGCGAGATAATTATTAAAACAAGTATATTTTTTGTCTGTGCCTATGCTGGAAAAAAGAGGAATTTAAACAAGAGATACAAAGAAATCTTTATTTTTCTTTGTGCTGTTATCATTATCAATGTCATTCACATTCGGAATTGGGCTAGACCAACAAACAATAGTGGGAACGAATAATTGTTTAACATATATCACTGTTAATTAATTTTCTCCACATAAGCGACAATAATTTCCTAAGTCAGTCAGAAAAGTTACGAGTACTGTGTAAGTTTTAGTTTTAACACAAAGAACACCTAATCTTTATTAGATATCCTGAATGACCAAATTCTTAAAAGTTGCAAAATATGTTAATAGTATGTTACTATAAAACAGCGAATGCTTTTAAGAGCTTCTACTTTAAAAATTTCAACGACGGGTCTGCATTAGCCTTGTAAGTAAAAGTGTTAATAAAATTATCCAAAAATCACTATAATAAAGCACAAAACTCCATTTGTTGACGCCAAACAGAGTAATAACCTTATTTCACGCTAAGAAATTTTGTGGTGACATCAAACTTTTTTTGGCGATTCGGCGTGCTGCAAAGTATCTAATCAATAATAAACTATTATAGTTTTCCATAAAACGGGACCGGACATGAAGAAAACATTCATTAAACTTGCATCATAAAGATATATCAGAAGACATGATATCCATTTAATGTGGCGCCAGCCCTTTTCCGCCTTCCTTATCAAAGAAGCCAATCAATCGCAGCTTCACGTCATGTCATTTGACGAGGAATCGGAAGAAATGAACAGAACAAACCGACACCAAAAGCCAATAAAGATAGTCCCCAAGGCGACAGCAACGTCAGGGTCTACCAAGCAATACGCCTTATAACATCTCACATATTGCAATTACAATCAATATCATACCCCCAAGAAAAAGTAAGGACAAAATTTTATCTCTCCTGTAATGCTATCATACAAATTCCTAATGACGTTCAGAGATTTCCCTCATCGAATTTGCGGAAACATATTAACCATTTCCACTCTCCCGATAAAAAGTCAAATGTGAAAAGCAAATGAAAATAACAGATCCATTCGTTTTAAATGAGGGTTATTTACCCCTCTGATAAGCCGCACAAATTACTGTTTATCTTTCAGTTAATATGGGTGCTTTTATGTGGTTTCGAAAATTTCTCAAGCAGAGAAAATTTGCGGTGGAAGAAAATTGTATTAAAGGAATTTCATTTCCTAGATTGCAGTAGCTGCTTTATCAAACTGTATGCGCTCATATGCCCCCGAACAGCATATTTTATGAAAAAAAGCAATAAATACATCGACTGTATTTGTCAGAAAGTGTAGAGATTTGAAAACAGTGCTTATGTATTCCGCCCTCGAAGAATAAAACATCAAAATAGGCTCAAGTGAAAAAGGGGAAACGAAAATAAATAAAACATGTGACAAACGCAAACATTTCAAAGCAAAAGTTTCAGTAAACATTGATCATTGCTCCCAGATGGAAAATTTTGCAACCCATATTTACTTTGTAAAGTGCAATTTTAGGTAGATGGTACTTTTAAGTTAAGGATTGTTTGAAATTATTTACGAAAATTTATTTTTGGGACATAACACATCTCACTCAGAGTTTAATATGAATTGCAAACAAGAATTTATAAAATAACATGTTTTAATTTCTAAAAAACGTGTTTATTAATTAAAACTTTTCAACAGCGTTTCGTACCAACACGGTGAATACACATTACAAACACTTGCCAAAAACACACACAGATCACTTTACAACTCTTAATAAATAACTAATAATTATGAACAAAAAAAACCTAAAAGTTCATTATCAACAGTTATTTTTGTAATATTGTTGTATGTATGTGCTATATTCAGCCAGACGTTAGATCGTATTATGTAAAATTGTTTCCCTTTGTATGGAGTTTTTCAGACAATTTAAAAAATGAAGTACACTTTTAAGACTTCTAATTTCAGATGTTTATTTTCAAATGTTGGCTATAGTGTGGTGTATCAAAATATTTAATTATTTTGATTACAATTTAAAAAAATTATGATATATAATCCGTTCTTTATGTTTCACAGCTTATAAAATAAGTGCAAGTTTCCTTTTTCTGTTTACCGGTTTGTGTCTGTCGGAAGTTTGTCGAAGATGTAATACGGAGATGCTACGGAACCTGCATTAAAGTTATCCTGGAGGTGATAAAACACCAATTAAAATTTGTTTATTTAGGCGTATTGAAATGTGCAACAAACATAAGATATGGTTTTATGTTATACCTGTGGTTTGAATAATCCATCCATATTAAATAAATAAACTTGCTGCATGACGCGGTTAATTCTTCGATAATTCCATATACTTTTTGGAAATTAAAAATTTATTTTTGAATATCGATTTTGGCTTGCCATATTTTCTATACTTCAGTAATATATTTTTTTATATTTAGAAATTCTTACACAGGCCACCGTAAAAACTATGTGTGAATCCTTTAGTTTTGTGGAGTGTCTTAAAAATATTTATTTGGTCTAATTTAAATTATTATTACACTGTTCTTCGTGTTACATTGTATCTATCAAAATTAATACAAGGTGAGTATAAAATATCGTACATCACGCTGGCTTTGGAAAATCTGTACGATGTAATCTCTCATGCGACCAATTATTGGTTGCCTACCTATCAGGAAGCCTATAAGAAGATTAGGTTATACACATTTGTAATATAGATATAGATGACGACGAAAGCACGATTATGAGTGACATTTATGACAGACATATACATTTAATCAATGCAGACGACGACGAGTAATCATAAATAATTATCACAATAAGGCGGCAAAATTTAAAATTCATAAAATTTCAAAGCCGACTTGATGTACAATCTTTATCGCGAAAAAATACCCGTCCGAATGCATGCATCCGATGTTTCCTATCTTTCAGTTGTCAAGGAAGCTTGTGCAATAAAGTTCTTCCGAACATTGGTTGTAATCGTTTAAGCTGGCTAACTTACACCGGTTTTGTACAATGACGTGAAAAAATATATCTAATACTGATAACATTGTTGGATTTTATTTTGTCGGTAGTAAAATGTTGATGGCAAATCGGTATTAAAATTTTATGGAGAATAAGTTGAACTTATTTTATTATTCTTTTCAGGAAGCGACATGCCACTCCATATGGCGGAGCACCAAACAAACTTTCTGTCTTTGAAGTATAGGATCAAATAAATTGTAAGTAGAAATACTCACGTGACTACTATCGTTTACCTATCAGTTCCAACTGAACATAGTCGTTGCCGTTCCTGGCGGTGCATATAATAATCTGAATAGATTTATGCGCAATGATTTCAGTTGTTGTATATAGTGTGCATAAAATATGAAACCAGCACGATAAATTACTAGATGTTAAAAATTTACAAACCAAATTTTCTTACTAGAACTATATTTTATCAAAGGTATGATTTAGTCTAAAATAGAAAATACATACCTAATATTTAAAATAATGTCTATAATTTTGTTGCTATTGATCAAAAACTTTTGCAATTAAGTTCCGATTCGTCAGTTTCTTAATAGAGACGTTAAGAGAATATTAAGCTCTATTTAAAAAAACCGACAGTAACTACGTCTTATATTTTTAAAAGCATAAACATCCTCAAATCAATCTCCCACAATGGATGCACCTGCTGCTCAGATTTACGAATCTAAATAACGTAATTTTATACTTAAGGGACCATCCAATCCATTTAAAAATAGAGCAGATGACAACACACACCCATACTTTAACAATTAATTTTAGTCAAAAAAATATTTTAAAATGTTACATCAAACATACGTGTCATAAAAGACTGTGTGGGAACATCCGACACAATAGAATTAAGATTGTCTGGGAAGTGAAATAAACAACGACAACAAAGACACTTCGCAACATTTGGCTACAGGAACTTTTATTTGTTTTATGATCCCTTTATAGCTTAATATACGAAGCAGAAGCAAAGGGGTTTGAGATTATTAAAAGGAAAATATGATTAGCGCGTCGTTATTCGATGGTTTCTTCAGAACTGCCACACGTGCTAGAGGCATTCAGCGCAAATTGCTATTTTTGTTTCAGAAACTTAAGTGAAATGCAGATTTGATGTCTAATAAATGAGCACAGCATTAATTTTCATTACATCAATATCGACAAAGTACCTCATGGTGAAATTAATTTATCCTTTAATTATTATTTATTATGTATTTTAATTTTTTTTCATTTGAGCCAAGTACCGTTCTTGAACAAGTAACATATCCACACCTATTATAATAATTTGTTACATTTTGTACGTTTAATTCAACAAAAACGGCTACACAGCTTTTATGAATATGGTAGATATAAAAACACTGATACTCCCTATTGTCATATAAATTTAAAGTGACGCTGCAACGTAATAAAACTTTTTCCTTGTTTCGTTCTGTTATGTTTTCGTGGCGTTGTAATTTTAAAACAACACACTGAAAGTAATAAGGTTAGACGAGAGTTTTGTTTAAAAATATTTTTAAAGGGAATGGGAACAGCGGGAAAGTGGAATTGCTGTGATGAATGATCCATGAATTTATTTAATAGAAGCACCTAACACGAATTTTCAGCTTACACCGATGTACTCTTTTCACCAAAAAAATTGTTGTTACTGAACTCGAAAAAAGTACAAAATAACTTAAGTACCAAACAGTCAACTCGAAATACTATTAACTTAATCGATCAGATCAACATCGTCATTATTTCACTGCAAGATTTGATATTTAGGTTTACTGCGATTACTTTAGTTTACAGACAACTTCAAATATTTCAAGTGTGCGTTCAGCTGACGATATTATCAAGGAAAATAGTTACAAATAAGGGCTGAAGCCTGTAAAATTTAATCAATCGCCTACATATTTGTGCTTGAAGTGTTCTTTTCTTTGCTTAACTCAAATTTAACACGTGAAAACCATTAGCGTAGAAACTGTTTTTGTGTAAAAAATCTTACAACTGTGACAGTAAAATAGATATAGTAACATATTACCTAGAGGAGTACTACATCAAGTAAAATGGATAAGCGTGTGTCATGTACTAAGACGGCTATTTCAAGTCAAGATTAAGCTGAAAGATGAGTCGTAAAAAGCAAAGGAGGGAAGAAAAAATGTTTACAATTAAAACCTGAGGAGAAAGAGGGATGAAAAGCTTGATAGCCATACAATCAGAAGAATAACCTATGGTGCTTCAGTGCAAAAAATACTCATGCAATTATTGTCATTTTAATTTTTTGACTACAGAAATACAAAAATACCGATATTTTTTGAAGATCTTGAATTTTGGGCAAATGTGTTGTACTCGTAGTAGTGTAGCTATAAAAAATGCCAGTCCATACAGAAATTTGTGAATATTGTATGACAATAGAGACAAGTAAACAGAAATTTTTATTTAAACTAAACTTGGTTATAGTGCCGGTAATATTGGGGCGCTAATATCTAAAGAATGGAAAAATAATCACATTCCGTGCAGAATTAAAAAACAGTTGTGTAGAGAACCACCAACGGTTCTAAATATCTTCAAAGTATATTGTTAACTTTTAAATTTTATTGATATGATCGTTTCGAGATTTTTTTAATTTTACAAATTTTGAGGCAATACGATGTTCTAATTGTTGTTATTACGACAATATTAAGCAAAAGTCAAAAAGGGCGTAATTTGTTTTCCTATAAATAATGAAACTACGAGTAATTCTTTAGAAGTCACATATATCTTCAGCCTACCACCGTAATTTTGTTATCTTTTTCTGTCATGTCACGCATCACGTCTTCATCAAAACACAATAGAGCTTTTAAATAAATCGACTTAAATCAAATTGGATTTACATTGATTAAAGGAATTAAATAAAATCCGATAATTCAAAACAGAGTGAGTGGGGTCGAAAATAGAATTCATCGACAGACAAAAGGGCAAAATAATATTCCTGAACCAGTGACTATACGTGCATTTATGTAAAAAAAAAAAATGTTTTTCGATGTCATTTCCAAATACCATTGAAAAAATTTAATTATGAAAAATAATTATTATTTGAATGTGTTTCTATAATGAAGGGTGCTCAGAAATATATTGTTTCCATATGATTATGAGTTAGTGAAATCTGTCTTATATTAAAATTATGTAATTATGTTTGTTTCGCCATCATCTTTAATGCAACAAATTTCACAATCTAACTTTCTGCCATTTTATGTCAAACAATATTAAAAAATGTCTTATTCTGCATAATTCTTGGATCACTCGAGTCAACCAATAATGTTTTACTACAAAAGTTCTTATTGTTCTCTGAAGAAGATTAGGTACGCGAACTTTATTTCTGCAATGCAAATTCTGTCAAACAAACAAATAAATAAATTATGGGAATATTCTTTGAGCAGGAAACAAGTTGTAGTTGTAGGACAAACAAATGACTCTGTTTTCCACAATGAAAATGTTACGTTTCTTGAATGAGAAAGGACTTATCAGACTGATTACAAATTATTATTTAAGTAATTTATTTATTCCACTAAGATATGCTAACTAAATTTCAGGTTTTACCGCTTATAATGTTACTAATTCATAGACAGTTTTGCTCAGAGACGTTTATTGCAAGCATCTTTTGATTATGTAGCCTACAAACATTCAGGCTGTTTGGATTATAACGAGTGATAGAAAAGTTTTCCAATTTAGGTAGGCATAGCGTAATTGACATTAATGGCGTCCTAACCTAACTGTTTTTTGAAGTTCGAATTGACGGAATAGTCATAAACCCACCCCAATTAGAAAAGTTTTCGGTAGTGCACAATTATGTTCGTATTTGATTTTTTATTTTAAAATAAATCGGTGTTAATAGATTTCAACAGGTGGATCACACGATTAAGATCAGTCGGTAATTGCAGATTCTGCAACTGATCAACTGGTTTACCGAGAACTTTGCCAGGAGATGGGATAAAGTTTAGCACTAGTGACTTAAAAAGCTTTAATAAATAAAACACTAGATCCGTATCTGTGCACGGTTTAACAACTTTCTTACATAGAAATTGAAATTTAAATTGTTTATTAAAGTAATAAAAAAAAACAGACTGTGTGGGATCCAACAGAGAATAGCATCATGAGGAAGCTAAAATTAATTTATTATTTTCACTGTCATCCAACATAAATTAAATTAAACTGTAATATTTGCCCAATTAAGAATTATAAGCACACCAACAAAGAAGTTAATTAATTTTGATATTTTATAAGCTAATTCAGAACATTTTACGAAGATATTATCTTTTATTGTTTATCTTAAAGAAAACCATCCCAAAGAGGATTTTAAAAAGTCCACACTTCGCAGGATGAGAAACCTTATTTAATTTTTCAGGGAGTAAGACGCTACATGGCACATTTGTTATTGTAAGAAACTGGTTTTATCTACGAAATAGTTGTGTGTAAAGCAGAAAAGCCACTGAAAAATGGATGTAATAAATTGAAAACATGGAAGTGGCCATGATGCTTAGGGCCGTCGACCAGCATACGTTGAATGGTCTCTTATCGCTTATAGGGTGCTCAAGTGTTTAGTATGCATAGAGCGTTGTATTACCAACCGACCCGTCCGATCGCAATGATGGCCACCGGAAGTGTAAACAGAACCCTGCAGCTCTTTCCGGAACTGTTTGCGGAGATAAGCCTGGACTTCGGCTGCCGCAATTTATGATGCATATATGGGTTACATCCTAGTTCCGTCCGCGATCTTTATCGAACCAGAATCCTTGAGAACATTACTGATACCATTATTGCTACAAATTTTGTGTTAAAGTTGATAACGTCTTGGGATCATCTTGATAAGATGTATATACTACACGGAAAAATAGTAGTGAAAATAAAATTGTAAACTGTGTGTTTGAGAATTCTAAAATTTGATTTGGCGAAATTTTATTTATGTTATGGTAGATTATATTAGAATAAAGGTAATGCCAGTCGCAGTGTAAGAAAAAAGAGATGACCCATGAAGGAAAGGATTGAATCCGCAAGCATCGCGTTATTAGTAAGCATCTGAACCATCAGTGCCTCATGAACGGTTCTCTTACATTAGTATAAAATGTTGCTATACAATTTTGTCTTTTTTGCGAAAACAATAGGGTAAAAGTCAGGGCGGATTCATAAACCACAAATACGGGTGTACGGTATTTTATAAAATTTAAATAACATTTGCTAACCAAAATTTTAAGTT